TATAAATTTTGTCATTTATGTCATCTGTTGTGACATTTTCATGCATACTGGAACCTGCATTTAATGTGCTTCGATATAATGTTTATCCCTCATTTAATGTTCAGTTTCACTGATCCCTAGTTAGCAATCTCTGTAACGAATTTCCTTCATTTAAGATAGTACTCAGTTTAGTGTTCAAAATCCACTGCCCTCTAAAGACACCTTAAATGGGGCTTTCGCTGTATTTCCGTGTCATTTGTAAAATACTCTTAGATACTGGAGTTTATATCAGCAATGCTGTATACCTGAAGCTGGCAGAAATGAGTTATGGCAAAGGAGTTACAAGGTCTTCTCCAGCAATGTTACAAATCTTACTGACTTCAACACTTCCAAAAGTATTTAGCACCAGGATATTGTCTGGACACTTGTACTGAACTGGCCCTAGTCCACAGTACTTACAGCAAACAGCTGATTGGTAGGAAGAGCATGTGACTGCTACAGACAGTAAAACAATAGCACATTTTTTTTCTTCAAATAATCAAGTAGTGTTGCTCTGTTATGTGAATATACAGAAAATGGACACATAATTAACTGTTGATTATTTACACATTGGAAATAAACTGTTAAGGTCGTACTGAAAGTCATGAGCAACAATTCTTTGTAAAGTAACATGCTTTATTATTGACAAACCAAATACACCACCTCAATCTACAGACCTTTCTTTATTTTGCATATAATCGCCACTTCTTTGTACACATTTCTCCTAGCATTCTGGGAGTTTGAAAATTCACCTTCTGTAAAATTCTGTTTCAGCCATCCGAAGACACTGACATACTGCTTTCTGAATTGCCTCCCTTGTCTCAAAACGTCCACGCAGGTGATCCTTCGTGTCGATATCTCTGCAGCAGTTCTGAGGTGGTGGCTTTTCGCTGACCTTTGTGGTCTTCGGAAAATAACCGCGGGACCCAACAAGCACAAACTTTCCTATAGCCCAAGCTTTCAATCATCTCCTGCACTGCACTGTGCCCTATTCCAAGTTTTCGGGCTATTGTGTCCACAGTCACACGCCTGTCATCTTGAATGATCTCATCCACTCTTTCCTTGTTGCGTTCAGTTGAGGCTGTTCGAGGACGATCGCTCCGAGGCTCTCTTTGATGCTGGTGTTCCCATCCTTAAAAAATTTCACCCATCTTCAAACACTGCTGGCACCCATGCACACACTTCCATAAGCATGCTGAAGTCTGGTGAATTTCTACAGCACGCTGGCGAAACGACATATCATTGTTGGACATTTTGTTAGGAGTGATACTGGTCACGTGATGCAAGCTGTTGTCGTCACAAGACACTCAAGGTTAACACAACAGCTGGTTTCACCTACCACCATACTCTCTTTCGTCTGATGTTCCCAGGTTGCATGCAAAAAAGAGGTGCTCATGACTTTCAGTATGACCTACGTATGTTTCTACAGCTCTGCCCATATTGCTAAGCAGTTATACGAGGGGAAGTCAATAATTATCCGCAATGCAGTTGTATTTGTGTTTCTGTTGGCAGCACTGTCGTTTTGCTCAGCATCACCATGCGTGGTTTCCTTGTCATTATTTAAGCGCAGGTTTGATGTTGCTAGGTTAGTTCCATTGTCACTGCCTTGCCGTTAATCATGGCTGCTCTGCTTTCTGTTTGCACCAAAAAGAGCAATGTTCAGTGATCTGGTTTTTGTGGTCTGAAGGTGTATCAGGGGCCGCAATCCATCAAAGACTTTCAGCACAATATGGGAAAAGTGTTTTGCTGCAACAGAGTGTCTACGAATGGATTGAAAAATTAAAAAATGGTCGCACAAGTGTTACGCATGAGGAAGGAGCCGGACGACCATCCACGGCCACAAATGAGGACAACATTGAGCGTGCACGTGACATGGTTCTGTTAGACAGACAAGTGACTATTGATGAAGTTGCAAATCATATGAAAATTAGTCATTGTTCTTCCTACGAAATCATCCACAACAGACTTGGGTTTTATAAAGTCTGTGCAAGATGGGTCCCAAAACAACTCACAGTGTTGCATAAACAGATGCGCTTGGATATCTGCCAACAACATTTGGATCGCTATGGTAACGAACGTGACGTCTTCTTAGACAGAATCATCACTGGTGATGAAACATGGATCCATCATTGTGAGCCGGAGAGTAAACGGCAGAGTATGGAATGGAAACATCCACAATCGCCCAGCAAGAAAAAGTTCCAAAGCCAACCATCCTCAGGAAAACTGATACTTACAGTTTTTTGGGACTCACAAGGCCCAGTACTGGAACATTATCAGGAGAGGGGCACAACAATAAACAGTGCTCGTTACAGTGAGATGCTTACTGACAGGCTAAAGCCTACAATTCGAAGCAAATGCCGAGGACTACTGTCGAAAGGTGTTGTGTTGTTGTATGACAGTGCCTGTCCACATACTGCTGCCCACACTGCTGAAACCCTCCAGAAATTCAAGTTTGATGTAATGGCTCATCCTCCGTATAGTCCTGATCTCGCCTCTTCTGACTACCACTTGCTTGGTGCACTCAAAGTGGCATTAAGGGGCCGTCGATTCACCTCAGACCAAAAAGTGAAGGAGGGGGTGCATGCGTGGCTTGCTGCTCAGCCAAAAACCTTCTTTCCTGCGGGCATCAGGAAGCTTGTGCAACGATGGACCAAGTGCGTTGAAAAGTAAGGAGACTATGTTGAAAAATGATGTTAATGTAAGTTTTCTATTTGTATTGAAATAAAGTTTATAGCTACATTGCGGAAAATTATTGACTTACCTGCCTATATCCCTCTCTGACATTATACCTCAGATAGCATATGCACTGCTGATGATCACTTGGAAAATGCTGTGGTAGCAGTACCAGTTGGTATGTCAGGGTCTTTTTGATATCAGGTGGAGCATTGTATTTTAATAGCCCTATTCACATTGGTGAATATTATCAGTAATATAAAAACAATTGCAAGTATAGATTATGGACTTCTGGGTTGTGATACTATAGGTCCTGGAAGACTGATTCACTACCACATCTCACATACACTCAGATGCATTGATCAGTTGATGATCATACGTAGAAGTGACTGACATCATTATATTGTTCAAGGCAGGCCTGATACTGTTTTCTTGAAACTTGTGATTAGCAATTACATCTAATTCATATTCCTTTTAATGTTTCTAGCATATTGTCAGCTTTCCTACAACACTCACACTTTACATATATGTCATATATTTTGGAGGAGAATGAGAAAACCACTGAATGAATTTTGATTAAACTTAATACTGGGGCGTGTATTAAAAGTAAAAGCAATTATGGAGTGTTATAAACACTTGTTAACACATCCCAGTTTGTATTAAAATCATACAAATAATTGGCACTGTGTATGAAGAACTACACGCCTTTCTACTTGCATTTAAAGTGGGATTCATGAAATATTCACTGGAGCAGTAAATGTTTAAACAAAAGTTCAGAGAAAAATGAAGCATACATTGTATGTTCAATACACTTTTCACTAAATTTTATGTGTTTGAAGTAATTAAACAAAAGGAGAGAATACTCTAGAATTGTTGCACAGTATATGCATTTCCAAACTTATATATTTAACACTCAGCAGTAGTCTTCCATACAAATGAAGATTACCAAAATCTTGTATCATCAGTAATAATTGTTAATGTAAATATACAGTTAATTAGAATGTAACTGAATGTTCCACTGCAGCTATTACTTTATTAAAGTGTAAACTTCCTTTCATTCAAGATAATTAAACAAAAGAGAGCAAGCACTTCTGAATTATTATGCCATGTGTGCATTTCCCAACTTGTTATCTTTGAACTTTCCCTTCATGACAGTTGTCTTATTGTCTGAACTTATATCTGTTTTTGAAACATAGGTATTGTCCTCCTATTTTTGTGATACTTAATAGATTAACCCTACCACTGTCTGTGAGCAGATTGTCTAGAAGATGTGGGAGGCTTGATGAGTCACACCCATATGGGCCTTCATGGCCCGTTACAGGGACAGCTTTTACTTAATAGATTAAGGAGAGAAACACTGAAAGTCCAGATTCAGTTACCAGAACAGATTAAATTGGCACCACTAATGCAGCACTGACAAATAACAATATTTGAGATTATACATTATAGAGATTAAGTACTGTACATAGATCAGTTATTTTGAATTTTAGGCAGGTAAATGAAATTAGTAACATTAGTTGCAGTGAATTATCTTATAAGACACTTTCATAGCTGTTATGCTGTGGACTGCTGCCTGTAAATTCTGGTTTGTGTATTATGTATGTATGTACATACATGTATGTTACCGCAACTGGAATAACTACTACTTTATGATTATAAACTTTCTACATTTTTTATTTTCTTTGAGGGACTAAGAAGTTTGTGTTGAACATTACTTGCTGTTCCCTCTCCCCTTTGTGGTGTCTAATGGTAAGGAAGAGGACACAGAATTTTGGAATAAGCCACTGCATCCCTCAGAAATTAGGATACAACATCATGTTGCAAGTGCCAGATCTGTGGAAGACATATATTTGGATATAATAGTAATAATTAAGTTTATGTAGACTGTAAATTGTCACTGTACATTGTGCAACAGGGAGAGTGCTGGTCCCTATGGAAGACTTAACTGCTGTAAATCAGAAAACATTGATAGTGTTTATACATGACTAGAAACAGGCCAAGAGACTTTGGTAATAATAAAGAAAATAGAGAGGTACATTTTGCTAAAATTAAATCTTAAGGTCTTAAATATGGAATAAAAAATGAAGATTTGAGAGCAGAGATAAATGTTTATGTTTAGGAGTGAAAATATTAAACTGTACATAGAAATTGGTTGAACATATAGGAGGGATAAATATAATCTGAAAGAAAACAAAAACGTGGGAAGGTCAGGCTAAGATCATGTAATGTCAGAACAGGATTCTGGCCCAACCATGTGTGTGTGTGTGTGTGTGTGGATTAGTTTTTTTTTTTGCAAAATTTTGTTTCAGAGGGTGATGCAAGTGGAGACTCTGAGTCATCACCTGTGCTGTCATCAAGACGTAAGCGTCGTGTTCCAGTGAGGTGTGCTCAGAAACACCAAAAACAACAAGAGCAACTGCAACAGGACCAACAGGAACAGGTAAAGGAGGCTGAAAGTAATGATAAAATTGTGAGAAATATGTCACAATTATTATTTTATAAAATCCAATATGTGAACTGACAGGAAGAGCTTCTATTACATGAACAGAGCCTTGATATTTTGTTCTCCTTAATAAGACTTGCGTACTCTGTTAGCTACTAGAATTTGAGACATCAGTTACATGAAATATTAGTAACTGCACAAGTTATTGATTGTTGGGTTTACTGTTAACTCTTCAGTAGTTGTGTGTGACCATCAGTTCCTGAACGACTTAAATACAGCATTGTTCTTTTGCCTGTGTTGGTTATACTATTATGAGTCACTTGCCGGAACTAGGTGTTCTATGGAAAAGTCTTATAGCATCTGTTAGAAGTACTTCATGCACAAATTGTTGTTCTTTTTAGCAGCACATAAAAGAGAAACAAAGACCGAGACCAGGTCGTCCTCCAACCAGCAGAAAAACACGCAGGGGAAGGTCAAAAACTGCTGAACCAGATTCTAAGCAGGAACAGCAGCAGCAAGAAGAGCAATTGAAACAGGAGCAGCAGCAAACACAGGAGCAAGAAGTGAAGCCAGATTTGGAAGAACTGGAGCACCAACAAGGGGAACAACATGTACAGGAGCAGGAAGAAGACAAAGAACAAGAACACCAACAGGATGATTCATCATCTGCTAGGAAGCGTCGGGATGGCTGGGAAAAATACCCATGGATGTGTACTGATTGTTCTCAGGTAGTATTATTACATTGCATTACAAATTTGCCCTAATGTTCATAATAGACAAACCATAATTACATAAATGGTAGACAGCTCTGATTGTAAAGATGACCCCATACTAAGAATTATGTCTGCACAGAAAAAGAAATTGTATATAATTTCATGCTGTTACTACAAGTAAACACAGGAAAGGTAATAAATACTTGAAAACATGTTATATGTGCTATTTATCAAGTTTGTTTCCTTCCTAAAGCCTTTATTCAGTCTTGCCCGTCTCTCTTCACTGTTCTTATTGTCTGTTTCTGTTTCACCGTCACAATTTCCATCTTCCTTCTCATGTTCACTGCCAACTTTCCGAACTTTTCCTCAGCCTTCCATCCACTGCTTTAGATGTACACTGCTTTTTAAATCCTTTGACTCACTTCTGGAGAGATTCATTGCCACAATCTTGATCCACTGGCACAGCAATTTGACACTGGGCTTCTGTATTGTCCCAGCTGGTGTCAGAACATGGTCTCTTGCCAAGAACCATTCAGAATGTAATTATTTTTTAATGATCCTAAGATCCACATTCACTGTAACTTGTATTTGTTACACCAACCCTGCAGGTATGACCATAAGATCCAGTATTCATGCTGATATGCGGTATTAAATAATGTTTAAATACGTTCAGCACTAGAAACCTTGTTTTCTGAACAAAACTCTTCTCCTGTTTCAGACAATTTGTAACCAGTTACTTACCATTTCATTAGTTATCCATCCCTTAGTTTGATATCTAATTGTTAGTTTCATAAGCAGTTGCACCTTAGTCATAGTTTTTCAATTCATTATCACATGTGGTAATTGTGCTGTCTTCTAACACAGTGAGAACTAAAGCCACTCAGATCTTTTCATTGCCTGTTTCAAAACTGGTATTTCATTGGTGTTGCCTGTTAGGCCTAATAGACAATTACTTTCTCCCTGATGTTGTTTCTGAAAGGAGAGACGTTTTTTCCTTGAAGTCTGGTGGTAATGTCTACTATAAATGAAATCCCTTTTTTCCACATCATTTGTACTCACCATCCTCTGCTAGCCTTAAAATTTTACACCCAGTATTTAGCATCCTTGCAGTATCTCATGTGTCAAGTGTAATGATGTTAATATGAATTTGACATTCCATTCTGTCTGAGTCTGTACAGCCCTAATTCATCTTGTTCTTGAAGTGACTGCATTTAGGCCTGCTGAATAATTTCCATATAAAAGTAGCATTCCCAAATTCCTGGCTCTGTTGCTCCCAACTTTAGATGTTTAGATGTTGTATTTTCTTGCTGCTTTAAAGTTGTATGTTTGTCCTACATGTTTAATCGCCTTAACCTTAAATTTTGCATCTTAACTGCACCTGTTACTTGTTGACACATTGCCTTTCACATAAGTACCTCATGATATGTATTACTTCTTTTATTTCATAACTTCACTGGCATTTTGTGCAACCTTGTGTGGCTTCTAACCTTGAAATATATTTTCTGTCTCTTGTTTCTGGCTTTATACACTCATAGCATGATATAGTTTGAACTTTGACATCAACCTGCTAAAACCATAAAATGTATGAGAATATCAATATAAAAATTTGGCATTCAAATTCATGGTTACCTTAAAGTTTGTAACACTTTTTTTCCAGTTGTGTGGCTATATTAATATGTAGAACTTTATCATGACTAGTTTATATTTTAGCTGGTATCAGGAAACATGTATGCCTCTTTGAAGTTTTTTATGGTTTAAAATATTTTCATTGTGCTCTTCTTACTTATGTCATGAGATCTTGAACTTTAAAACAGTAATGTCAAAAATGTGTGAGAAATTATTACTGTGCCTGTTTTCAAGAATATTGAATTAATGTCACTTGAAAATTGATATCTGTATGCAGAATATGAAGAGAGATAAGTGTATTAAATGTCAGTATACCATACAATCTAAGAGTGTTGCAGGAGCTGGCTTGGTTGTCTTACCTCAAGTTAGATGCAATTCCCACACCTATGATGTCATTACATTGAGGGATTTTTGATGCATGCATCTCTATGTGGTCCACTGCTGCTGCTGGCTTTGATAAGTCATCAATCTGCAATCTTCCCCCACCCTCCACTCCTTGCGCACATGCCCACACACACACACACACACACACACACACACTATGCACACATATTTCAGCCTCTGAAGATGGAGGCAGCATGTACCTCTGAAACATTGGTATCATTGCCCATGACCACATGGTGTAACAGCCCAAGACTAAAATTAACATCAAGAATAACCAGTGTGAGCACCTAAAGTCACTAATTGTATGTATGTTCTTATGAGTCAGACATTGTCCATTAGTCCAAGTCTGGTATCTAGTGGTAACTTGTGGGGTAGTGTGAAATTCTCTTGCTGCTGAGAAAGAAAAATGTATGTATTTACTAATAATTCATTCTTTTTTTACTAACTATTGTGCAGAAATGCCAAACAAACATTTCACATAGAAAAATATGGGGAAATTGTGTGTATGAATGCTTGTACACATAATAGATATAAAGTTTCATTTTATGTATGTACTGAATTTAATTATTTCAGTAACATGAATAGAATTTTTACAAATGTCAAATTAGCCCAAAATCTTCCAGGTACTTCCTTGAAACCATTGGTGCACCCATGGAGAACCATGGCTATATAATTTTTAGTGGAATTAAGCTTATTGATAGGTTGTTTCTGTGGGTGACATAACCATTAAAGTGGTTGTTGCTATACTATTTTCAAATCTGATGGTTACAAATTTACTATTTCAATTAAATTAGGTGGACTGTTCTGTTACAGTCAGTGTCTTACAGCATGCTTAACCATTGCATATTGTGTTTGCCATCATGCCGTACTCTGTTATTACTTTTTTCTCCATGATCCATGTAGAAAATCCTGCACTTCTTTATATGCCTAGTTATTTCCACTGCACAGTATGATTTTCTTTTATCTGTGCTTTAAATATGATACTTTGTAGTTCCATTATCTTTGACTGTTGCTTCAGTATAGGATTGTATTATTGAAATCATGGTTTTTGTTAGCTCTGAAGCCCTTGGAATGTCTTTCATTTATGTTCTTGCATTCCAGATTTGTTTCTCCCCTTTTCATCTCTGCTTGTTCATTGCTTTGTAGTCCTCGTTACAAAGGTATCCATTGAAATGCATTATCATTCTGAAGGCTTTGCAGCAGTTTTACAGACTAGTGAATTCCTTATGCATAAAAATATAGTGAATTCTCATTACCATCCTGTGTGATGGATTGTATTCTGTCTCTGTAGGAAGGGCAACTTGGAATCTCTTAAAATGACTGCCCTGTTTGAAAAGTGTTATGTGACAATGTGACTAAAATTTGCATTTACTGAAATTACATTTTGCTGAACAATCCTGGTCTGTATTACAGGAATTACCAAGTATGCAGGCATTGCGTACACATCATGTGACAGATCACAATCAAGCTCCCCGATTTATGTGTGCTCAGTGCTCAAAGGTTTACACTAAGTACTATGGTTTTGTGAGTCATGTACGACGGCATCGCAACCATATGAAATTTTGGTATGTTCATTTTCCCTCTTAAGTTCTGGAGCAGTTCCAGCTGTAAAGATGTATGAGGGCTATTCGCAGAGTAACCTCTGGTGAGCTGTTAACAGAACAAGTATTGAAAAAGAAAAGGGTTTATTGTATACAAAAAATATGTACATGCTTAAGCTAAGTCTCGGCATAGTCACTGCTGGAATTGAGGCACTTGTGGAATAAGTTTCTGTGTGCCTGTGTCAAACAAGTCTGCTGCTTGTGAGCTCAGCCATGTTTTAACTCTTTCCATCAACTTCTCACTGTCGTTTAAGTGCTGTGATCCCAACCAGTTCTTCAGGTAGGTAAACAGGTAGTAGTACTTGGAGCGAGATCAGGGCTGTAAGGGCAGTCAAACAACACCCAGTTGAAATGCTCCAGCAGTGCATGAGTGTGAGTAGCTGTATGTGGACAAGCATTGTCATGTATCATGGTGGAGCACTACACCAGATTTCAGCATTCCACACCTTACATTCTGAATAGCCCTACACAGTTTCTTGTGTTTTGCAATACACTTCAACATTACAGTGGTCCTTTGTTGCATGATTTCTGCCATCAGAACTCCTTTCCTGTCCCAGAAAACAGTTGCCATCAGCCTTCTGGCAGGCAACATGTGAACTTTTTCAGCTTGTTGAATATGTGTTCATCCACTGCTTTGACTGCTCATAGGTTTCAACATTCACAGATGAAACACAGGTCTCATCAGCTGTTACTCATACAGTGTGATTGAGAAATTCGTCGCCATCTTTGTGGTATTGCTCTAAAAAAGTAAAAAGCGAAGCCATTCTCTGCATTTTATTGCACACCTGTGAGCATTTTTGGAACACATCTTGCGCAAAACTTGTGATAGCCAAGCCTAACTGTGATCTCATAGAGAACAGTGCATGAAATTTTTTTTTATCATGACGTAAAACAAGATCGTCACTTACTACGGGTAGCCGACCACTTTGCTGTTCATCATGAACATTTGTTGACCCATCTTTTAACATTCTATACCATTGTCTTATAGTTTCTTCACTTATATCATTTTGGACGTAAACAGCGCACAATTCACTGTGGATTTCTGCAGCACTGATGTTCCTAGCCCGAAGAAAGCAGATAACAGCACAAATTTCGCACCTGGCGGGATTATCAATTGCAGGACCGGGATTATCAGTTGCAGGACCCATCATAACTCACTCCATAGAAACAAAAATTGGGTGACCAGTTATGTGAAGGTTTACAAGGCAATGAGTCATGTGACGTTACCTTGCATGGGTGAGCTGTTCCTGGCTTCTACATTAGTTGCCTAAAATAAACAGAGGATACTTTCTGAATAGCCCTCATATAAGTTTGCCTTAATCTGTAGCATGCATGTTCATGAATAATTTAGCTGAAATGCAGAGGGCCATGGAAATCAGTTCCTTGTTTGTTCATTAATGGAAAATACCTATGAAAATCTGTTGTTCATAATTGTATGTTGTAGGATTTTTTTCTACAGACTACCTTTAGTAAGGAATGCTCACTTCCTCAGCTGTCAGTTTCTGTATATCCTTTCATTACCAAGAGCTAGGATATATCCCAGTCAGTAAGGCATCTGATTATGGGTGGTATGGTTGGTCAAGGGAACAGATTCTATTGTTCAGACAACTAATATCCAGACTAGCTCTGGGGTCTGTCCAGCTTCCTGTTCATTGTCTTTTTGTGTGGACATAAAACACCAGAGCACCACACACCTAGATCACATGCAGAAGTCTAAAATGCCTGAAATTGTTCCTGCACATCCCCTATACAACTTCATGATGTGGTACTTCAGCACATGAGGAACCTTGTCTTTACCTTTTACCATATCAGTATTTGTGTTTGATGGAAACCCTGTATCCATTGTTTGCAAATATTAACTTCAAGCTTTCATACATTGCCATTAGAAATCAATAATTCTAATGTTTCAGCTGTGAAGAGTGTGGAAAATGTTTTTCCAACAAAAAAGTGCTTGAGTCACACCGCGCTACGCATTCAGATGCACGTCCATTTGTTTGTTCAGAATGTGGTAAGACCTTTCGCCAGCAGAGTGCGCTTTATGTTCACAACCGATCCCATCAGCCTGATGATGTGAAAAACAAATATCCATGTGATCAATGTGACAAGCGGTAAGTAGGACATGAAATACAGTCATAATGAAAATATCTAAAATGATGAAAAATTGATGTATAATGAATATTTATTATTGATAGAGAACCTGGAAATATATGAATTGCCCCAGGTTCAAAGAGAAAATTTTTATGGTGATCTCATTGTAACCAGGAAAAGACATGGCAATTTATGAGTAAATTAATAGTTATTTTGCTGTAATTCATAAACTGTCTCTGAATTATATCACCAAATTAGAGCTCAGTACATAAAAGCAAAAAGTCTTGCAAGTTTAATAGCTGTAAATATTCTTACTTTCAATATCATGCGTGGTATTAATCACAGACAGACATGGCACCAAACTGTGATTGTATTTAGGATGGAATTTAGTATTTCTGCTTTGTGTCTTCTCTTCATTGATACATAGTTTCTTGATATCCTTCATTATAACAAAAATATATCAAGTTTTTAACACCTGCTAAAACACAGAACATAAGCATAATCCCTCACTGTTATGACCAAGTTTGCACATGCCAGGATACACTGCTATCATAGCAGCCCACACAACATAGAATGCTGCTGCTAGATTTTATCCAGTCTTTTCTGAAGCACCATTCCCTTGAGAAGATTCACAGTTTAAATTGTTGACAAAATAATGTTGCTTTGTCCTGTTGTATACTGATTATGTGACTATTCTGATGCCAATAATGATGCTTTTTTTTTTAACAGGTTTTCAACAAAACCAAACTTAGTTACACATAAACGAATCCACACAGGGATCCGAAATTTCACATGTGATCAGTGTGGCAAGAGTTTCATCCAGAAGGGTAATCTAGATGCTCACCTACTCACACATTCATCAGATAAACCCCATTCCTGCCCTATATGTAACAAAGGGTGAGTAAAAAAGTAGAACATTAGATAATTGATGTAATGTCTTAAGTGGGTTATGCATGGTACGTATGTGAGGCATGTTTGCATTTGTGTCTTTTTAATCTTTCTTTTTCTTTGCCTTACTAAGCCATTTCAGCTTTCTTTTTATCTGCAGGCATTAGTAAATGCATTAGTCTAATGGATTGTGTTATCTTAAACTGTCCCTTGTACAAAATAAATTCTACTAAAAATTATTTACTACTCTTTCATTATTAAGGATTGTCAGACATTTGAAATTCTTCAGCTCTCTGATTATTAAAGCATTTCTCATATATATATGCACAGCAGAAGTTTCACCCAATGGACTTTGCTTAGTGATTTGTCATTATGAGTGCAGGTTTAAGACTCCACTCCAGTTGCGGAAACACCAAACAGTACACACTGGTGCCAAACCACATCAGTGTGATGTGTGTGGACGTCAGTTTCGTGAACGAGGGACGTTAAGAGAGCATCATCGTATCCATACTGGTGCAATGCCTTTTACTTGTGAGTTTTGTGGTAAAAGTTTCCGCTTCAAGGGTATACTTACGGTGAGTTGATACGATTTGTGAATTACAAAGGTTTCATTTTCCACTTGTGTTAATTATTATACAGTAGTTATTCAGTTACAATTAATTTGGATGTCTGATAATTTTGCTCAAAATATGAAAAATGAAAAACATTGCTCACAGCTGAGTGCATACTTTAAAAGATGCGTGGCATTTAGGAAGACAGACAGAGCTTCACAGTTTCTTCAAACCTGCATTATTACAGTCAAAAACAGGTACAAAATCTGAGTCTTCTATTGACAAATAAATGTACTGTCTTCTTATAGTTTTTATAGTATAGGCTCTACAATGATATTTTTTTTTT